AAAAAATTATTTAAAATACCAGGAAAGTTACTTACTATAGTCTTACAACACAACCAAAGTGAAATAAATTGTTTATGATATTATATACTTGTTCTAGAAAACTTATTTAATAGTAAATTGAGGGACTGTAAAATTAATATTTATTTGATTTTTTGACTGATGTCTTCTGAAAGCTGCATATTTAAGACTTTTAAAAAGCTCATTAGTCTAAGCCTCTCGGTAAGGGATTTTACTTTTCCCGTGGAATTTGATAGCATTTATTTACCATTTTGAACTACCATCATAATCAGTTTTTGCCCAGAGCCAAATGGTCCGTTATGCAAGCTATGAACAAGATGAGCCCACTATGCCTTGGTCTACTTAACTCCCCTTATTTTGAAATAACAAACAGAGCATCCGCACTTCCAAGCCCATAATTTCAAAATAATAAGCTTGTTATTTTGAAATAATTCTAGCTTATCATGAAGAATAGCGTAATTTCAGGAGTTATTATTTTGAAATAAGTTATTTCAAAATAATTTCTTAGTGTAAAAATGCTTTATCTTCTTTGAAGTGTCAATAAGCAACTTTCATTGGACTACAGCTCTGCATCAAAACAAACCATATGAAAGAGCAGAAAAAAAAAGCAACCTCAAAAGCACTCCCCAAAAGAGAGACAAATAGCTACCGCCCAATATAAAATTTGGGTGGAGCATATTAAAAATTGATCTAACTGTAGAATACACAATGTTATTCTATCCCTTTCTTGTTAATATTTGAAATTTTCACAAAACCAAATTATCTTCATATAGAGTGTTTAAAGGTGGTTCATATGATTTCCCCAACTATACAGACCAGGTCCCAAATGCACTAAAAGCATCTGCATAGCCTGAATTGTCAGAATTCTATAATATTCAAGAACACTATCATAACTACATGTGCAGGTTTTTTTTTGTTGTTTTTTTTAAGAGACAAATGATCTCCACCCCTAAGTTTCCAAAGCCTGAAGCCTGACTGATTAGAACAGATCAATCAGAAAGTATGGTTCAACAGTAAAAAGAGAATAAAAGTAACATTATGAGCTTTATCTCCAAATTCACTGGCATCAAAGACTCCAGATAAAATTTGTTCTGTTTACATAAAAAATGTGGTTTCCCCAACTACCTGCACCACTAAGCTACTTAAAAAAAAAAATATCAAGCTTTGTTCTTTCTGGACAATTTATCACTCAGGCTATGTCTATACTGCAGAGCTTTCTGCATCCAAAGAATGTGTCTGCTTTTTTGGAACAATTTCTGAAAAAGCGAACGCGTTCTTTCACCATCCCTATAATCCTCATTGTATGAGGAGGTTATTCCTAAATTTGGTCCCATGTAGACAGGCCAAATTTCAGAAAAGCCTCTTCCAAAAGAAAAGTGGAAAAAGATACGCAAATTGCGGTTTGCAATTTGCGCATCTTTTTCTGACTTTTCTTTGCAGTCTAGACATAGCCTCACAATATATGCCTCTGTCGCCAGAGGCATGTAGATTAGGCTACCAGACATAGGAAAATGAAGTGGCGATTTAAATAATCGCCGCTTCATTTAAATTTACATGGCTGCCACGCTGAGCTGATAAACAGCTGATCAGCTGTTTGTCGGCTCAGCGCGATAGTCTGGACGCGCGGGGGTCGACATCAAACCTCATCCCAGGAGGCATACCTGGGTGGTCAACAAATACCTTTGATGTCGACACCCGCGCGTCCAGACTATCGCGCTGAGCCGACAAACAGCTGATCAGCTGTTTATCAGCTCGGCGTGGCAGCCATGTAAATTTAAATGAAGCGGCGATTATTTAAATCGCCACTTCATTTTCCTATGTCTGGTAGCCTAATCTACATGCCTCTGGCGACAGAGGCATGTAGTCTAGACGTACCCTATAGATTCTGCAGATCAAATTCTGCCCTTAACCCTGTCTGTAGAATTTCAAAGTGGTTGACAAATATATCAATAAGGGTGATAATTATTCTATAATTAGGATATCCAGCTAACCACTGTGCTGATAATATACATGCCATAAATGAACCCAGTATACTTTTAGCTGTAATGGTGCTATAATGCTAACAGGAAAAAATAAATGACAATGATTCTTTCCACTAAAATAAGGAGATATTACTTTTGAATTCACAATTGGACTAGATCTGTTGAATAATAAAGTGCTGTTATATAGCCACTTTCCAGAACAGAACTGAATTTTAATGCCTATTTGCCTTACAAGACTTCATCTTTGGCAATTCTACTTTTCCTCTTCACATGAAAATGTGTGACATAGTCCAAGAGTAGTAGTATCTTGTCTTCTCAGTCTCTGTGGGCATTCAAGTTGAAATCCTACCATTCACCCTTCCTTTAGATTGTCTCCAGATTACAGAATCCCTATTTACCAACCAAGTTTCACTAGCAGGCCCACCTGGATAAGTATCTGGATAACTTGCCAGATACTTCAGAAGCAGTGATCAGTATGTAATACAGTGACACCAAAAAGCTTTTATCCAGAAGAACATAGCAATCAGACAGAAATAGTTAAAAACTATAGGAGTATGCACCTATTGTTGTCCCTAAAGCTTAGCATGCATTTCCCTCAAAACTTGGTAGGCTCAATTTACCTGCTTTTTGGGACCAAGTTATAGTCTGCTTCTCTGCAGACCCTGTCTGTCCCTCTTTGTCAGAGCAACTCTTTCAACAGTCTTCAAGATCTTTGTTTAAGGCAGCGATATTCAGATCTCAGTGGCTCAGGAGCCAAATTAGCAATCAACATTACCCAAAAGAACCATGATAATTACATATTATTCTCACAGCAAAATGACTGACCAAGTATTGTAAAATTGGTTAATAACACAGTTAAAGAATCCTGAATGGTTAATAACTTAGACTGATTAATAATTAAATCACAGTGTATCACTATCATGATCTGCAAAGAGACACACAGGAGATACATGAAAATTACTTACAGATCACAAACCTCAGTCTGAGTATCACTGATTTAAGGTTTCCAGCCTGAAGGGCTCATCCCCTTTCCGAAAATGGAGATGTTGTGCCCATTTAGACAGGGACAAAACCTCAAAGGCCTTGACATTTATATTGCCAGCTAAGCATTGATTATTAAACGAACACCACTGACTTTCATTCCTGCAGATGTACAAAGCCACCTAAGACCAAAATAATCTTCACTTATCATTAGGAAACAATACAATAACCATCAAACATCCAGAGGGTCACATAACAGTCATAAGATGTGACAGATCTTTACCATGTTCTTCATGGTAATGTGGATGAGTTACAATTTATGAAGAGCCCACTAAGATATTTAGTCTACAGGACAGATCCAGTACATAGAACATCAAAGTAGTTTTTAAAAAAAGGATTCTTTTTTTACTTTTACATGTCTCAGTGAGGCAAATCAGCTCTGAAAGTTTGTAAGAACATGAGTTAAATCCCATGGGGAATGTCCACTGAGATTGCTTCAAGCTTGGAACTTTAGGACTTCAATAGTTAGGGGCCTGACAAAAAGCCATCTGTCTATAAATCTCCTGTTTTACACCTTGTGCAGTATAGTATGCAAAACCCTAAAGAAAATAACTACAGTTGCTCACATTGGTGCTACTGTTTCGTACCCATTTTACAGAAGTGTATACAAGATGCAAGACCATGTTGAATAAAGTTTTCAGAATTTCCTGAAGTGTCTACATTTGTCAGCTGATCTGAGAATGGGTATTTACTAGCAATAAATTATAGTATATTAAGAGCACAGCAACAAAAACGTTAAAGTAACCTGAAGGCATAGTAGCAACAAGAGCTCAGGGCTAAATTATCTACAAGAATTCAATAGCTTCTGGGGTCATGTTATCACATCATAATCTTGGCTTACACTTTATTTCTTAAAGACTTTAGCTCTTATTGTTGCAAAGAGAGATTTTAAAATTAAACCTAAATCTATTTGACACAATAATGACTATCTAAGTCTGCAGACAACATGGAACAATAGTTCCAGCCTTCTTTGGGGAAGAGGAGGTGTTAATTGTTATCAGAATCTCATAAATCCTATTTACATGGGAGCATAGGATTTGTGATGCCAGGAGCCACCTAAACAGTTTTCCTAGGGCCAGATCCTGAGAGTCTCAAGGCACCCTCAAATCCCATTGATGTAATGACTTAAGACTGAATGATTTCAAAACAATAGTGAATAAATCTGAGATAATCAAAGGCTGGTAGGGTGTCTTGCTAAAGATTTTGATGGATTTGGGACAAGGAAAACATGCTATTATCTGAAAGATAGCCAGGATATTTCTTGTGATTGAATAAAGCAAACCTTGGTTTGGTCAAAACAAATGACATTTTGCCACTTTTTTCTTTCCTTTTAAACTCTTTTCAAGTTCTCATTCCTATTTTTTCCACAAAAGGAGAGGCAAAGATTTACTCCTTTTTCTCTCTCTCTGTCTCTCTACTCTTTTCATTTTCCAAAGGATATCTCGATAGGTTGGCCAGAAAATAAAAACATGTGTTTATTGTTACTGATGTAGTCTTTTAAATCCTATTATGTTATTTCAGTGTATAAAAACCCACTCTGAGCATTTTTACTAAGTGTTGGCAGTTCTGTCTGTATGCAGAGGCTTGAGGGAGATCTGGAGTAGATTATCAGATGTAACTTTTTAGAAATAAATAGAAGGGCATACATTAGTAACATATAATACAAGGGAAAACATGAGCGTCTCAGTGGCAGATCATAAACTAATAAAGTACAAGAAGTCCAAGTGAGAGCATTTGCTACCTAACCTGAGGGCCCCACATATGCTTTTGATATACCACAAAACAAGGCATCCATGCTCACTGTCCTCCCCTTTGGGAGTGGTGGTGGCAGAGGACCCCATCCTCTTCTA